TGTAGGCATTACAAGGATACTGTGCATTATAGGTACAACGGAAGTTCATTACATATTAAATTGGGCTTTCACTCATGCGAAAATCTTTTGATTTGCTAGTTTCTTGTCTTTTACCTACCTTTCTTTCCTAATGACACACCTTTAGTGCAGAAATAATTAAGTAGATATGTTTCATCAGTTCCAGTGGGTTCCATGATGTTTAACTAACTAAGATAACTTCGGCTTTACCTAAATATGAAAGCTGAAGGTATTTTGAGATTCAAGAGTGCCAATATAGCAAAAAGACACAATTTTCTCGAGGAAAACGGTTGTCCCCAAAACGCTGCACCAGTCGACAAATTACAATCTGCGAACCTTCAAAAATCAAATCCTGATGGAGAACCTGCTTTAGACACTACACATTTATAGTCCTCATCTATTTATGCTTTGAATAAGCCTAAAAACAAACACACATCATTATCGTTAACATTTTGTCATATCGATTCTATCTCCTACAACATTGTTTTATACAAGAAGCTATAAAAAGACCACTTCTCATTGGTAATTTGCTACTGTGGAGAGATGGTAGGATGCTTAACCCCTTCATTTTTCATAACGCAAATTCTGAGCAGAATTTTGCAAGATAATCCTATATCAGTCCAATTGCCACTTCCTTGTTTGATAATTACTGAATTTGGAAATATATTTGTGCAGCTTTTCCCAAACTCGTGCATAAACAACTTCTGATTCTGCTATATCAGCCTAATAAAGTACTTTTTTGGTAAGATCATGGTTTATTGACCGAGCGATGTGACGACATTGCCATGAAGGGGCGATCTGCCATGGAGTATCAATCGACCTTGTTCTAAGAGGTGCTGGGTCATTTGGTCAAAGGACGAGGTCGGCGGTGACAGCTTTATTCATACCCATTTGGTGCAAGTGTTCTGAACTGTTCCGCCAATAATTTCTCTTCAGGCTGAATATCAGTTTTTCTACAAAATCACTCATCTTTGCCATTTATGTTCTAAAATATATTCGCTTTCTCAATGAGATGTCCCATATTTCAAGTTTACCTAATTTCAGATTAACACCCAAGCATTAATATGCTACAGCTCGTCGTCCTTATCCTTTTACTAGCCTCCCTCCAGCTTGACGCAAGACCTCAGTACGGTATGTATGGGCCCGGAATGTACGGACCTAGACCTATGGGTCCCATGATGGGGCCAATGGGACCCATGGGCATGGGCATGAGACCTATGGGAATGATGGGACCGATGGGAATGAGACCTATGGGCATGATGGGTCCAATGGGATACAGTAAGTTTACAGTAGTAAATGCGGTACTTGATTCAATGGTGGCTGCTACGTTTTCAGATCCAGTGAGAGGTGCGATAAGAGGGGCAATGGTTGGATCAATGATCGGAGCCGCTACTGGAGGTCGCTAGGCGGCTATGTACTTAGTAATAATATATTTGTATATTACTGAATAGTATGTTTCATATATTGCATCTATTGATTGATTGGATTGATTGCTGATGTTAAACTACAACATTTAATACTTATTTATTAATAATTAGCAATTGTACAAGCCTTCAAACTTTCACTGATTGTTTTATTAAATGTAATCAATCGATAAATATTTGCAAAATTTATGTTTTTCGAACCGCCAATTAAAATCTGATTTAATGATACATACATACAATGATTTAGATTTGGAATTACGAGCGCGTTTCACAACGAGAGATTTTGTTGAATTCGGGGTTTTGCATGGATGGGCCTCAGCAGATTATTTGCATAATTTTCAGGTGTACTGAGCTCACTATTTTAGGAAAAACAATATTTATCTTTGCTGTTAGCAAATCTGATCGAAGTTCTCGGGTTAGCATCCCCGGTTTCATCGTTAAAATTGTGAAAATAAACGATTCCAACGAATTGGTCTCTTCATGTGGAGAATTTTGAGCGTGTAGGTTTGTGTTTAGGTGTGCAGATGACATTACCCACAAGCACGTCTAAGAAGTACTAAACTCAAGTTCTTCTAAAGAAATAGTGATTACCTAGCTTTTCTGTTTTTCCTTTAAAATGATTGGTTGTCCCAAGTAATGAGCATACATATTTCTACATGAGTATTTGCTTT